TATATACATATTATTTTAGTATTGTGTTATTATAATTTTAGTTAATAGTAACTAATTGTCTCGATAAGGGGAGCTAGATCATTAAAACTTTCAAACTAATAACTTCAGTTTTGGTAATGATATTAACGATTTATTAAATATGTTAAATTAATTTCATTATGTACATGTTCATATATGTTACATAGGCCGATTTTAACTGTTTTCGTGGTAAATCATTAATAGGGTATTGAACAAAGGTTTTTCTACACGTGTCTGGTTTTTATATAGTTTGTAACTTGAGGGTTTTAATGTGCCCTCTTACCAACGTGATACCGATACACATGGTTTGTACGATATGTGTCATAAATTGGTGTTAAGAGTTTAAAAAGGGGATCAAGTAGACATCATAATATGTGCTATAAGATTTGTAATATAAATATCGTGGGTGTAGGAATAATAGTTTAAATCTACATTGAAAAAAAATCTCAAAATGGAAAATGAATTATTTATTTTATTAAAAATAAAACTGCTTGTTCTGTTAGTGAAAAAATTGCTTCTTTCATATAGTAGTCCAACCTGTATTCCGGAAACCTCGGAAGCATATATGCTTCAAAAAAAAATTACTAGGATAAAAAAAAATGTTTGGTTAATGAATCTTAATGAAAATATTTTAGAAATTATAAACTGAAATAATATATTATTAGGCTTGTTATTTGGATTGTTATTAATTTTTGTTACTGACTAACTTAGGTTAATTCCGCGCGTTTTTATTAAAAATCATTGAATATGTACACACACAAATTCTAAGAATTCATTGTGCATCTATTTTGATATTTTTGAATTATTGTAAACTTGTTTGTAATAAATTTTATTTATACTTTATATTATTTTTTTATATTCTGAACATAAATTTTTTTTATATTCTGCACATAAAAATAAGTTCGTATAAACTTATGTCTTAAAATGCTTTGTTTTGGAGGCAGGGTGTAGAAGTTTCATTTTTATTTGGATTTTTTCCTAATAATTTCTGAACTGAATTCGATATTTGGATGAAAATTCGTATCTGAGGGTTTTTAAACATGACAAATTGCATTTCGATGTCAGTATGACTCCTACTTGTAGGGGGCGCCACCTACATATTTTTTAACTGTTTTGAAGGGTAATAAACTTTTGTCCGTCCTTGTATTACACTACTGAGTGAAAAAAAATATACAGTTGTGTTAAAAAAATGTCTCTTATAACCTAAAATGTTTCTTAATATCTATCTAGTGAACATATTATGTCCGCTAGCTCCAGATATTTGAGTAAATTAATAATTTTCGAAACGTTCTGCAAAATTTCTAGAAAACTTACAGTTAGGTTTTAAAACAGCATCAGTTGAACCTATGATGTCTCGAAAATTATTAGTTTAGCCAAATATCTTTCTCGTGAAAATCTTTTGTCTTTTTAATCTTTTTGTCAAAATTTTTGTCTTTGATGACATGTATTATTGTGTAGCATTAGAAGTTATAAAAAAGATGGAATGTTTTTTATAAGAATTTTCTTTTGGAAAAATATTTAAAACAACTAACACTATGCGACGGAGCTGTTCGCCGGTGAGCAATGGAGGCGCCACTCAGTTCCATTTACTTTCGAAAACTTCTGAAAAAAAGTTGAAAAGTGAGAAATCAACTCAGAATATACGTATTACTTATTTTAGGAATTACACAAATGAAACGCTGAGATAATCTAATAACTAAGTATAATTAATAATAATTAAATGTAAAATAGGATTATATCAGGCTATGAAAAAGTTGATGTTTGAACAATATTTGTTGGTTAATTGTATTGATATGTGTATATTAATAGTAGTATAGTTAAATCTGCACGCTTCTGAATAATATTTTTAAAAGAATTATTCCGCATAAAGTCTGGCGATCTTGGTATCAAAGTGTAGGGACTTTTTATATTCAAAAAAAACCGTACTATGTGAATATCAGAAATATGCATAACATGTGTGTAGGATTTATCAAAGTGAATTCTTAAGTAATTAAATATATAATATGCCTGAAGGGCTTAATGAATTCAAATGAACTTAAATTATATAGATATAAAATCAAATGATCTGGCCTGTTTTATCCGTTCTGGTCACAAGCTGGTTGTGGTGAACTGCTATCGGAACTGGATGGTGATGTAAGTTGTTTCTGGACAGACAGGATCGAAAACTTGTGTGTGAATTCAGGAGATTCCTCCGTTATTCCCGGTGTAAAATGTAGGTATAAACGTGGACCAAGTGTCAGGTACAAAAAAGACAAAATGGTACCAGAAAATGCTACCATAAAATAAAATGCTGCCATAGACTAAAACCCTATACAAAGAAAAAAAGGTATTAGGAAACGTTACTTAACGTTACGTTTAAAATAACAGTCTTACCTCTGCCAAAGCCTCTGCTCAGAGGGTTTGCCGAAACAAATTGGCAATGCCAACAAACGCCGATAGCTCTATCGGGTTCAGCCTTTAGCCACCAATATGGCGATGAAGGTAGGCACTAGGTATGTCTTACCTATACCGTCAGAAATAAAGTGACCAACGAACTTCGATCGGACTGAAAAATCTCGCCACAAAATAAACTTGATGAACAAATAATAGATAATAGACAGTTAAAGCACGGCCAAAGACGTAAACGTATCGTTTGACATGAACGCTTGCGCAGTGTGAAATTCACTTGCGTTTACGGATACGTGATACGTATCTTTACGTGCCTTTACGTACGTACAAAACGCAAACGTATCGAGCCGAAGGAGTTTCGATTTTCACCCGAATGATGCCGAACGTACAAATTCACAAACAACTCGTTCCACAACTGGCTAGTAATTAAGTTATTTCATAAATTTTGGGGCCAGTGTCACAGAACTGGGCCTATTTTATTACAATAAATTAGTATGAAAATATTAAGTATCATAATAAACTCATTTTGGAATCTATTTAATTAAATGCTAGTTCTTATAGGCAAAACCATAATATGAGGATTCTAAAAGATGGAATCTAATAAATAATCATAAAGCTGTGTCTGTTTTCCAATATTTTTTTATTACGAAGAGCATTTTAAGTTGTAAGGACTACTTTCTGTAATAAAATAGTTTCCATTTATAATTTTCTTCAGTTTTCGATATTACTTTTATAAATTTAATGTGGAATCAATGGAGTAATAGATATCAATTTTCAATTTTAAAATTAAATAAATTGTTTCACAAAATAATTTAGAATTACAAATGTACCATTTGCGTTACGTACGTCAAAATACTTGCTTTAACTCTTGTTTACACGACAACGCAACGGCAGACGTAACGTAAGTTTCTGCGTTACGTGTCGAGAGATACGTATACGTATTGTGCCTTGCTTTAACTGTCTAATAACAATACTTAGAACGCCATCTGGGTGCGAGGACTTAATCTTGAATTATTTAAATAAAATAATTCCTCGAATAGTTCTGTATCTTTATCTTTAAATTACCACCTAACTTTTGAAGAACCTAGCTTTTGAAGAACTTATAAGGAAAGCCGAGAATCGTGAAGATTTTGCCAATGTGATCGCCAACCTCCACGAAAGAGACGGCACGTAAAGAAGAATAAGAATCTTTAAATAAAATTCTACAATTGATTATTAAGAATCCAAATATCTCGAGAACGGTTGTTCGCAGTGATTTTTAGCAAGATACATTTTTTTACGTAAAGTAAGGCGTAAATGTATATTTTTTCACTCAGTATTGTAATACAGAGACGGACGAAAAGTTATTACTATTCAAAACAGCAAAATAACATGTATGTGGCGCCCCCAACAAAAATTAAACTTCTCACATTTCTCTCAAAGAGAAAGTCTATTTACATAGGAAATAAAGTCTATTTACATAGGATTACTTTTATTAAACTATTGATAAATTTCATGTAAGTTGATTTAACTTGAGTAACAAGATGTCCATATTAAAATTTCAAAAACCACCAGATACCAATTTTCATCCAAATATCGATATTAGTTCATAATTTATTTGGAAAATCGATATAAAAATGAAACTTCTACACCCTATATCTCCGAAATGAAGCATTTTAGGACATAAGTTTATACGAACTTTTTTACTTATTTTTATGTGCAGAATATGCTGCCGAAGTTTGCGGAATACCGTGCGGGCCACCCTGTAGATACAACTATTAAAAAAATATTTATTTGGCCTAAAGAAGCTAAAGATATTTAGACCATTTCTGATCGATATTTCTACAGGATCAGACTTAAATAAGTGTAAATGAGTGCAGATTTAGTGGTAGCACATTTCGATCACAGGAACTGAACTGAGATTAAATTTATTGGATTGAAAACCCAGAAAAAATACAGTGGTTCTTAAGATTTAAGCGAAAAATGATTTTTTTAGTTTGTCTATTTTTAACTTATTTACGTTCACCCTGTATGTCTTAAAAACTCGTTTTCTTTATTGCAATCTCGTCGAATATGTTATTTTTGTAAATAAAATTACCTTCAAAATATATTATGCCTAGTATATACATATAAATAATAATGTAGTGGTATAAGGGTCTAACGTTGAAATATGGTGAAGCTTATATTAGGTCATATCTTTCTTACACAGTCTTTATCACAAAATTTCAGCTTTCATAAAAATAGAGATTCTCTAGACATATAAGTATTTTAAACAAATACCAAGAAAGTTTTTCAGTAAACATTTATTATGATATATAAAATAGTTAAACAGGATACCAGTCCAAAATATCCGAGTTATTTTACTTTGAAAATATATATTTTGCGAATCACTGGGTTTTTACAGGGATTTCTTTCTTGAAAATTTAATCTACTACCTATGGTGTCATATTATTACGAAATTATGTTTTTAACTAAACATGTGAAAAAATAATCCTAATTTTTTTCGAAAAAAAAAATCATAGAGTCGTGTTTCTGGGGTCAAAATATACTACCCTTAAAATATTTGCACTTGTCTAGAACTCACCCTGTATTATTATGCTTTATTTCTCTTGCAGATTTAAATGCCCAAGACAATGCTGGAAACACTCCTTTACACGTTGCTGTTGAATATGAGGCTCTCGATGCAATAGACTACCTGTTGAGTTGGTAAGTTTAAAATTTATTCCATTTCTCTTTCTGGTTGTTTTGAAAAGTGTCGTTTGGTTTGGATTTTTATTTTAAAACTATTTGGATTTCGCACAGTATACAGAGTAAAATTTAAGTTAAAAGTTAAAATAAGAATATTTAACTTAAATTACACTACGTAAAAAATGAGAAAAACAATTATGTATCTTCTTAAAATTGTTTTTTTTTAAGTTTTAAATTATACAGGGTGGTGCCCCTCATTCGCCTCGGTTGATTATACGGAAACGAGAAGATGTAGAGACAAAAATTTTTATGGGTATATGTAGAGAGGCAATGTGCATAATTTAAATTACTTTCAAATATACAGGATACGTCAGAACTAAGATCCATACCAAAGTTATATGTTTTCTTATGGAACACCCGGCATTTTATTTCATTTTTGAATTCTTGGGCATAAAATAAGGCATTTATTATAAAGGTTTAATATGTTTGAACGCTTTGGTTTTTCAGATATTTAAAGATCTTTAAATATGCATGCTATAATAAAAAAGATTATCAACACCCTGTACATTAGTTTTGAGAGTTAATTCTTGTGCTGACTTTGAAACCAGAGAAATAAACTTTACTAAAAAATTGTATTGCTTCCTTAAATGTATACAGGGCTCGATACAGGGGTATCAAAAATTGCTGGTCTATTTTAAATATGATTTATTTTACATAAAATCTTCGTTATTTCCAACACAAAACTATGTATTTTTAAAAATAAATTGAAGCAGATCTAAATGCTCTTTTAAACTATATTAGGGATGCCTATACCTATCTAGCTCAGGTTTTGAATAAAAAACGATTTTTCAATAAAATGGCAATCAAGATGATTACAGTTGAGGGTTGGAACTTTCGGTGTTACACAGCAAAATAAAATTACACTAAATCATCAGCAGATGATTATAAACTAAAGTACAATCTACAAGTTGAGCGTTTATATACTCCCCAGTAGGTACCGAGTGGGCGTGGCAAAATCTAGCCAACCGAGTCAGAGCCAAATGAGCGTAACAGTTAATTTCCGCCACTAGAGTAGTAGGAACAAAGAACTTGAAGGAATTGGACCGTTGTCTCTGTTCATACTATCTTTACATTTATTAATTCTGATGCTTTCATATGCATCTAACCTACTACTCTAGTGGCGGAAATTAACTGTTACGCTCAGTTGGCTCTGACTCGGTTGGCTAGATTTTGCCACGCCCACTCGATACCTACTGGGCGAGTATATAAACGCTCAACTTGTAGATTGTACTTTAGTTTATAATTATCTGCTGATGATGCTAACATGGTTAGCGAAACGCGCGTCCAGAATCAAGATGGCTGATGACGCCATGCCAATTTGCTAGTGACAGTTAGTAGCTATTTTCAACATCGTATGTCGTATAATCAACCGAGGCGAATGAGGTGCGCCACTCTGTTATTAAAATTTACCCCGTTGCTCTTAGGTATCTGTGAATTGGGTTAATTTGCTGAATTTTGAAAAACCTAATTTAGAAAAGTTTTTTGTCTACCCATTTTTATCTATTTAGATGAAAAAGTTTCTCTGTTTTTTTTTTATTTTTAAAATACATTTTTCATAGTGTTTCTAAAGCTGGTTACACATGTCTGACTTGGTTCCGATTTGAATGAGATTTAGGATGCCCCTATGTTATGCTAAGCGCTTTAACATTTGACTTTCACAAAAATCAATATATTCCTAACATTTTACTTTTATACAGGGTTGTTCACCACATACGACACGGAGTATTGTATCTAAACGATTAAATTTTTACAAATTGTTAGTTTTGGGTTCGTTGAAGGACTATTAGAGCTATAATTTAAAAATAATTCTACAAGAGTGTCCCAAATAATCACACTTAAGCCTTACCGTTTTTAAAATATTTTCAATTTTATAAAATTGCAATAAAAAAATTAAGGCTCCATTTCTCCAAGGGTATCAAAGTTTTTAATACTAAATATTTACTGAAGTTTATTTATTGGTCAAATATTGTGTTGCAATAATAAAAATTATACTACCCTATACAGAGCGTCCAAAAATTTATATTTAATAATTACTAGCTTTAATAAAAACGGCAATAATTTGTTTAATTTAAACCGAACACCTTATATATTTTACGTGAATCAGATGCACAATTTAATTGTCTATCAAATTGTATTATCTGTTTTTTACCTATATCTTCAAGTTTTCGTAGAAAGTGCATTTTTTATAATTTAGACTTCATTTATTACTATACCCATGGAATATTGACATTTTCGATTATTTTTAAAGATGTAATAAATTTTCAAAGAGTACTTTGTCGATGTAGCTTATTTCATTAAAAAATACTGCATTAAAAAAAACAACTCTGTATAAAACAGATATTTTTTCTATTAAGTGTTTTAAAATATTACAGTTATCTAATTTTAAAATATGATCAACATCTCTATTATTAGATTCCTAAATTATAGGAGACCCTCTTTGGTTTCTATCAAACCCTCCAAATATCCATGTGGATATGATATAACTGCTTAGTAACAAAATTAAATTTTAACGTCAGGCTTAACGATATGATTTAAACAAATTTAATTAAGAACGCATTGTTAAAGGATATTAAAATTAATCTTCCAAATCAAACTGTGAAATATCTGTTTCATATGCGTCATATACATATGCCAATTTTGATCGTGTAGAGACACGTGAGTAGGTAGCTATTTCCGATGAATATAATAGAAAACCGAAAAAACGTCACAGGTGTATTCTGTCGACAGCTAATGGAGTCAACTATTATGATTGCGTAAAGCCCAAATACCGAAAAGCTTAAAATTGGAGTTGTAAAGGAACGTACAGGAGGGTCTAACGAGCAATAAGTTACTTTGAAAACGATAGAAAGCTGAAAAATGTTATAAATAGGAGAGTTTGTAGAATGGAAAAGTATATAATAAAAGCAGACTTATACAATGTAACATACTCTATTTCATGTTCATCTATAGAAAAGCGGAATCCGACAAAGCAGTAAAAACTGGTTTTACTTATATAAAAGTATGAGAGTTACAGTGAAAAAAAAAATTGGCAAATAAATTATCTGCTTCGATAATATTTATTAATTTCATTCATTTAAGGTTCATTCAGAACCTCGCAATTAGTGGAGTATATTAGTGGTTTCAATTAGCGTAGAAGTTTGTTCCTTTAATTTAAATGTAATCATTCAGAACAACTGTCATTTTGGCCTTTGGCTATCGTCCGTCAAGAAAAAATGTGGATATAAATCTAAAGGTTATTGTTTTATAAGCTAAATATTAAGATTTCTCTATAGATACAACTCATTACCGCAAGATGTGACTAGGATATTCTATTAATTTTATTTTTTTTTAAGATATTGTGAATGATCGTACACTAAAAAGTATAAAGTGTAATTGACACTACTAATTTATAACACTAATTGGGATTCTGAATGAAGCTTTATTATTAGTTATAATTTTATTTAAAACGTGTTAAAATATAATGCAGATTAATAATTTGTTCATTTATTTTACGATGTAAATAAATGTTTCTAGTTATTAAAATATATAGTTTTTATAAAAATAGACAAGTTATAATAATTATTTAATTACATAAGTATCAGAAACGCTAATGAAGTACGTAAATCAAATTGACGTATCTTAATTATTTTTGACAAGTTGTTGCCACGCCCTTTCTAATTTGAAGTTCAATAAAACACAAGTTTACTTAATTAGAATGAGTTGCATAGAGGCCACTAGCTTTTTAATTTTAACAACCGGGTGGTCGGGGTTCAAAGGTATTAATAAAGGGCGCCACGAGATTATACTCTATGAAGTCGGCAATAAAGATGTAACTATTAAATAGACTTCAACACTAACCTCGAACTGTTGAGTGCAACTATCATAAACTTCAAATATTCTATAACTATTTGTACTTAAGTGACTCTAACTTAACTATGAGACTAGACTGCAAATAATACTACTAAAAATATTTAAGCAATTTATTGAAATATCAAAAAGGTTAAATGTATAAAGAAAATGATGAAATGTATATAAAATGAAGTAAAGTTTAAATCGATAAGAATAAATGAAAAATGAAAATGGTCTAAGCTATACTAAAACTAAGACGTCATCCCCTTAACTTAAACTAAGTATGCTCTAAGGGCGGAATACAAATAGCAAATCTAAACCTAACTAAAATCTAAACAGTCTTACTCTACTCGATGTGATATACTTGAAAACAACTCGGAAGTTCCTCCGGCTGAGCTACGGTGTATTGCTACAGGGTGGCTACGGCGCGGCGGTGCACAGCAGCTCGGTGTACTGTCACTGGAGCCCACGGATGTCAGCAGACGTACGGATGCCAGCCAGGTGTAGGACTTCAAAAGGTGAACATAAAAAACCCTAAATAATATTGGTTGTCTTAGAAAAGAGCCTCAATTATAGAACAAGGACTAGCACAACGTGTAGGATTTAATAAAAGTAATAAAGAAAGACTAATCAAATCTGAACTTTACCTCAACGAGGGTTTATGATGTCCAACGGGTAACTCTACACACGGGCAACAGGAACGGATGGAATTCTGGCCTGTTCTGTATTACAGTCTGGATCGGTCTTCTTGCTCTACAATTACGAACAACCAAATAAGACTTAAGAAAGATAACACTCAACTAATCTTTCTACACCACGTGGGCGTGGAAAAGTCGAAAACCAGTCAACAATATGAATAAAAATCAGTTGAGCATTGACTTAGAATAGGCAGAAGAATTATAGTATACCTTGGAACTGTTCGGGGACTTCTTGGGCACGTGGAATCGGAATATCGGTCGGAGAATTTGGCTATTTTAATCCCATTGCGGAAATTGGTCGGCGGTCCATAAAAATCATCAAAATCCAACCACGTCTCTGACCAAATATGTTTCGGAAGCTTAATCCTTTACGAAGTCCTGCTATTCACCAACAGGGAATGCTTCACGAAACGGCAGCCAGTTCTTCACGACGACACTCTTCAGCCGGGGAGTACACAAGAAGTGATGCAAGGATTCGATTTCCTTCACAAAATCAGATTTCTACCGGAAATCTCCCTCCAGGATATAGATAGAGAACTATATATCTTGACTAGTCCAACTCACAAAAAGGCATAAATAAAAAACGATGTTCTAGATTATTTTCACAGCCATCTTCAATATCCGGTCAATGAACGAGCTAAACTCACAAATTCCCACAATTAAATGAACGAATTGCACACTGCGATCCACATCAAAAATAACCAATTTAACTACGAAATTTTATCTGATAATTATAAAATTTCAATAACCACAACAAAGGATAAATAAATCCAAAAACATCTGATTTGATCTGACAGTGACAAGTGACGAACAGGTGATGATCAAAGATATAGAGAGACGGACAAAAAGCCTACTGCTGGTCGGTATCAGTGACAGTGGAGCTGAAGCTGTATAATCTAGCGATGTATATCGGGTTGCATAATGGTAAAATACTAAATAAAATAATATTTAACAATAAAATTATAGTAAACATGATGCAAAAATAACAGTTATTTGCAATAATTTATGAGCTAGCACACAGAGGTCGTAGCGATGAAATTTAACTGTTACATTGTAAATAATAAAGAAAATGCCAAAAAATGTAAATAGTTAATTTTAAGCGAATTTAATAAATTATTGTCTTTTCGTAACCGGTAAACTTTTTTTTATTAAAAGTTTGAGAAAAATTCATTCTTCATAAAAATGTTTGCTTTTCTAAAACGGTTAATCCCGTTTATACTTTTCCAAATTTCCATACCGTTTTAAGCCTTACACTAAAAATCAGCATGCGTTTTTAAGATAATATAATTTCGTTTACATTTTGTGATAGATTGTTATTAATAGAATTTTAATTAACGTCATATTTTTTTGATATTTTAAATTGTTAAAGAAACGCAAAATTTATTTAGTTCAATGTTGCGGAAAGGCTGATTATAGTTGTCGGCAAATGTGATACTTTAATAACAGCAAAAATATAATTTTCATCAATAATAATGATACACATTTATCGAAGAATTAAATCCAAATTGTATTAACAAATGTATAAATGCCGTTTAAGACTTCAAGAAAAAAATTCAACCGAATTTTTATAATTTTTTTTCTTATTTTCTCTAAAACAATATGGTAATCTGGAGAAGTATAAACGGTATTAACCATTTTAGAACGAGAAATTTTTTCAAAATATTCATAATAAAAAAGGGTTCCTCTTGCAAAGACATTTCGGAGATATACAGTCATTTACTAGTGAAAACCTATTTCATCATTTCTCTCGATTTTGATCATAGAGTTCCCAAAAATGGGAACTCTATGATGTCGATTCCGTCTATCATGCATTCATGATTCATGATTCTATCATACATGCCTACTATTATACTTTATTAATCTTTTTATTATTTGTTAAACTGTATTATTTTACAAAGTCAGCAGCAGGAAAAAAAGAAAAAAAATTAGTTGAGATACTGAGCTAGCTTTAGATGATTGAACGGTGGTGATTTACAAAAAATAACTTTATATTAATAAATATATAATTTTTTAACTCAGACTGTTTTCAAGAAATTATTAACAAAACAATCATGAAAAAGAAATTTAATTATTGATATTATAAAACAGACTTAATATAAACAAGAAATTGTCCCTAAATATCGTATTTCGATTATCTGGTACTCCATATACATTACAAAACACATTTTTAAAACTATCAAATTATTTGATTAATATAATGGCATTAGATTTCTTAATACAAATAATTTTATCTAAATGGATATTATACGGATAATAAACAAGAGAATTGATAACCATAGATTACTTTTACCTTATCGGTATTTGATATTTGTTAAACCAACCCAATCATTTATTTTCACTAAATAACAAAAGTAAAAAGAAAGTGACAATCATATAGTAACGAATTGTGAACAAAACCCTTCAAAAAATATATTTCTTGTTATTTTTAGTGGTGTTAAAACAGACGTTCTCAATGAAAAGAAGCAGGCTCCGGTACATTTGGCAACGGAGCTCAACAAAGTTACGGTTTTAGAGGCGATGTCAAAACACAAGGACAAGATAGATATTCAACAAGGTGGTGAACACGGTCGAACTGCACTTCACATCGCTGCGATATACGATCACGATGCCTGTGCAAGACTTTTGGTAAGTTAACTAAGACTGATCGTTAAACAATGTTTAGTAGTTTTAACATACTTAACACAAATTCAAACTTTTAGCAGTTATTAAAACTTTATATAATTTAATAAATTTGTTACAGTTTGTCAGTTATTAATATACAGAGTCCTGTTCACCAAGATGCCATCAAAATTTTTTAAAAATTTCAAGGATTGCCGAGTTTTTTGGGAAAAAACTGATTTTTTTGAAAATCGGTTTTATTGTTTCCTGTCGTTACTTTTTAGAAAATAAAAAAACTAACTGCACATTCTCATAGCCACTTTATTAGGGCTATCTGGTAGTATTTTTAGATTTTCAAATTAGCTGATAATTTGTGAGATACAAAGGCCAACTTAATTTTTTTAAATACGGACCCAAATACTATTCATTATTACAATACTGATAAACTTTCAAACTTAATAATGACGTGGGGTAAAATATTAAATACGGAAAATCAAATGCAATAAAATAATACAAAATAAGTAATATAAATATAATATAATATAAACAATCAAATCATTTTCCCGGATGATGGATTGGAAATGGTAGAACAGTATAATGGCCAGCGAGGTTCCTGTCGTCCATAAGAAGAAGATTTGTTCAAAGAGCTATAAATAAAATTGAACGCAAAATAAATTTGTACATGAGGGAGGGTTGTAGCCCTTTCGAACACGTAGAGCATTAGAAACTAGTTTGTAGAAGTTGATTTATTTATAATAACTACGATTAATATTATGCATATTATTAGAACGTACACTGAGATTTCAAATTCATAATAAGAAAAAATAAAAATAATCTCTTTAAATTGCTGACCTGGATATTATTTATTTAAATCTTTCATTTTTTCTCGATTTTCCTTATTTAATTTTAATTAGCGCTTATCAATATTATTGCGATGAATATAATCAGATTAAATAATTTAAAAAACCAGAGTCGGACATGAAATTATTTTAAATAATAATTAAATAGTTTTGTTATTGTTAAGGTATCCAAAAAAAAAGTATTAAGTGTGGCATATCGTTTTATTCAGGAAACCGAGTTCTTTCAACACTTGAAATAAAAAATGCAGGTCCGTATTTAAAAAAATTAAGTTGGCCTCTGTATCTCACAAATTATCAGCTAATTTGAAAATTTAAAATACTATCAGATAGCCCTATTAAAGTGGCCATGAGAATATGCAATTAATTGTTTAATTTTCTAAAAAGTAAACACAGGAAAAAACAAAATTGATTTTCAAAAAAATCCGTTTTTTCCAAAAAATTCAGCAATCCTTGAAATGTTTAAAACTTTTTTGATGGCATCTTGGTGAACATCCCAAGGAGCAACTTTGCTCCAATTTAACCATCTTCGTATCTATTACGGTTTCCGAGATACCAATGCTCGTACCTCCAATTTGTAGCACCCTGTATATAAAAAAATTGTTTTGAAGTGTAAACTTAAAGTATGTAGAATACATTTTTCAAGAAAATATTTTAACTGCTTCAGGGCGGCTAAATAAAGTTTGTATATTATTGCATTTCGCCGTATATTATTATTATTGCAGTTTTGGCTTCCTTTCTGATCACTTTACATAATCCTAAGATATTATTAAATACGTTTTAATGGTTTCAGAGATCTTAATACATTAATATATAACAAATAATTCATCTCAATTCACTCACATTTTTTGAGTAGAAAATTTTTTTGTAGAAGTTAGAATATTTTCCTGAAATATATCCTAGGACATACTTTACATAGATAACTAATTTTTAAGTACGAAATAAGCATTTCACTCATACTGTAAAAGTTAATTTACCAGAAATATTTGCCTTTAAATTCACATTCCTTACAAAGAACGCTCAAAAAAATATTTTAAGTACAAAAATGGCAATACAGCGATTTGTATAGAATTACCAGATATTTCAAGAGAGATACCTTGTATTTTTACTTCTGTTTAGATATCTGAGCTTAACGCTAGCCCAAGAAAACCTTGCAACAACGGATATTATCCTATTCATGAAGCGGCAAAAAATGCCTCGTCCAAAACCATGGAAGTGTTTTTACAGTGGGGTGAATCTCTAGGTTGTTCTAGGGCAGAAATGATCTCGTTCTACGATGCAGAGGGCAACGTTCCTCTGCATTCTGCCGTACATGGTGGAGATATCAGAGCAGTGGAGCTATGTATAAGGTATTGTGTGTAAAGTGTTATACAGGGTCGCTGTTATGTGTGACGGTCGGTTATTAGGTAAAATATACAAGGTGCCGCAAAAAGTTAAATAGAAAAGTTATAGGGTTGGTCTAGTAGTTAGTTATGAATATCTAGTAGCGAGTAATAAATTTAAGTATATCTATAGGGTCGGTTGTGGCTCATCAATTTTTTTTAATGTAACCCCTTGTCTATTATTGCATATTTCAATTCTTCCTTCAATTTTAAGCAAAATCGTAATACACATAATGTAACTAAATTCAACGAATTATGAGGTTTTGATTATGAATTGTTAAACGAAAATTTTGTAATTCCAGACTTGATATATTCATATCTATAAATGCTAAGAACGAATGTCGAATATTATTAAGTATCACAGTTTTCGCAGAATGGCATCGTTAAATGAAACCGAACACATCGAAATTAATTAAATCAATAATTGTTTAAGTGATATTTTCAAAACTTAACAACTCAGAAACGGTTGGTTTGAGGTACATTGTGTGTATTTCTATTTTTGCTTAGAAGTGAAGAAAGAATTAAAATATGGGCAATAATATACAGGGGGTTCCATTTAAAAAAATGAAACTTTGATATGCCACGACTTTATGACCTACCTTGTATACTAAAATTTATTACTCGGCAATAGAAATTTAAAAACCCTATAACTTTTATATTTAACTTTTTGCGGTACCTCGTGTATTTTATCCAATAATCGACCGTTTCCATATATACAGGGTGGGCCACTGAAAACTTACAATGGCTATAATTCTTAAACCAAAAAAGATATCAAAAAAAAAAAATACCGTTTCTATAATATCGAGGGGGAATATATATGACGTATTTTGTTAACCACCCCGACCTACCCCTTAGGCGGCACCCCTACTCACTTGAAAATCTTAAATGGCAACACCCCACTTGTGGCGCCTTTTTGGAAAGCCCATGAAAAATGCTAAACGATGATCATAAAATTTTTAGGGTGAAATTGAAAAACTACCCCTTACACGAAAAGTTAGGTGGACATTAATGAAAAAAGTGATTTTTCAGTATAAGTTACAAATTGGGACCCAGCTTAATGAGGCAAATGAGGTATTTTTCAAACCACCCCGGCCCACCCCTAGGTACCGCCCACTCACTTCTAATCTCAAGATAGCGATACCCCACTTGTGACACTTCTTTGGAAAGCTAATTGAAATTGCTAAATGATGGTCATACAGATTTCAACTTCTGTATTCTTTCAACAATTACTGGTAAGTAGTAATAAGAAATGTAGGTGGGACAATTTGAAAGAAATTTAAAATGATAATTTATTTTAACAATTACTCAAAATGACAGCCGTTTTGTTCCATACAAAAATACAAACGATTTTCAAATTCTTCTCTCACTTTTTGGAAAGTCTCTCTCGGAATATTTCGACATGCTTCAGTTATCCTCTGCCGCAATTCTTGCAACGAACCTGGTTTTGTCTTGTAGACTATGGATTTAGTGTAACCCCACAAGAAAAAGTCTAAAGGAGTGAGATCACGTGACCTTGGCAGCCACTCGATTGGACCCCTTCTGCCAATCCATTGCCGTGGACAATATCTATCCAACCACCGCCTTGTGACAATAGAATAATGCGGAGGGGCTCCATCTTGCTGAAAGTGTATGAGGTTTTCATTAAGAATTAAATTTCCTTCCAAATCTCTTTGATTTTCAATCTTATTTACAATGGCTGGCTCTATCAAATTGCTCAGCATTTCCACATAAGCATCACCAGTCAAATTTCCATCGATGAAAAATGGACCTATAATTTTATCGCCTAGTATTCCGCACCAAACATTGAGCTTTTGGGGATATTGGGTGTGTCCTTCAACAACAATATGCGGATTCTCATCGCTCCAGTATCTGCAGTTCTGCTTATTCACAATTCCGTTTAGTAAAATGAGCACTCATCACTAAAACAAATATTTTTAGTGAGTGAAGGTTCCCTTCGAATTTCCTCCGTCATTAGTTCACAGAACTGAATCCTTCTATCTGGATTGTCGTCGCCAAGTTTCTGCAGAATCTTCATTTTGTAGGGATGGAATTTGTGCATTTTCAATACTCTCCTGAGAGATGTTCGAGGTATACCTGTGATTGATGCCAACTGGCGTGTTGATGCTTCTGGATTGACCGATACCTGACCAATAACTTCCATCTGCATTTCTTTATTCAGTACCCTGGGCCCTATCCTTCTTTTATTTTTGACCGACCCAGTTTCTTGAAACTCTAACATAAACGTGAAATTTCTAACATAAACGTGACTTACGTTTTTGTCCGGATTTCTCTCATTGAAAGCACGGGCCGTTCTCAAATAACACATACCTTCAGCACCATAAAGAAAAACTATTTGAATTCTTTCTTCCACAGTATAAACCATTTTTCTTTCAAATAAGCGAATCAAATAAACATTTAAAATACCACCAAATTTGCAAACGATTGAAAATCGATAGAAGACAGTGCAAAAACGCAAAGATATGCCGTTTTAAGATTCCTGTTTGTTGAAAGTAAAAAAATAGATGATAAGGAAGAATTTGCGTTATCGCAAAATTAGGCTGAACGATTAGTAAAACATCTTTGTGTTGCCTTTTTTATTATCTACATTTTTTATTTTTAGCTTTAAAATGGCAATGGTTTAAAAATGGCATTGATGAGATTAGAAGTGAGGGGATGGCACGTAGGAGTGCGTCGGGGTGGTTTAAAAAATGCCTCATTTGCCTAATTTAGCTGGGTCCAAAATTGTAACTTATGCTGAAAAAAATACTTTTTTCATTAATGTCCACCTAATTTTTCGTGTAAGGGGTAGTTTTTCAATTTCACCCTAAAAACTTTATGATCATCGTTTAGAATTTTTCATGGGCTTTCCAAAAAGGCGCCACAAGTGGGGTGTTGCCATTTAAGATTTTCGAGTGAGTAGGGGTGCCGGGGTGTAAGGGTTCAAAAAATACGTCATATGTATTCCCCTTCGATATCATAGAAACGGTATTTTTTATTTTTTTGATATCTTTATTGGTTTAAAAATTTTAACCATTGTAAGTTTTCAGTGGCCCACCCTGTATTAGCGAGCCTGTATAATAGTGTAGGAAATAACAAGTTTTAAGTAGATTAAAAACAAATAAATCATATAGAGTCTTCGAGGTCAGTGTGATTAATGACATACTTTAATTTTTGTCCTGTTGCATCTTGTGAAGATTAATGATTTGCCGGAAACATTTTAAAACTTTTAAGAAACTGTCGTTTCCTTAAATCTAGCTTTTAAAAGGCATCATAACGTGAACTTTTCTGTATCTTCATACGAGGAGTCTCCACTTGGAAACAATTTTAAGTTATTTTAAAGATTGCTTGTCAAAAGTGATAAACGACCTGTTATCTCGTTCTCAATTTTCCGGATTTCTCTGGAACTCGTGTGACGTCTTCCGGCACGAGGTTGTGTTATAACAATTTATTTTCTTCTAGCTTTTATAATTTGTCTGAATTGCTTACTAGAGAGATCTGAAAAATGTGAAGTTCTAAAAATTTAGTGTTTTTTATATTTTGTAATAATTTTTATTACATCCATACCATTATTTTTTAAATATTTTTATATTACGATAATAAACAAAAATAAAAATAGTAGAAATATTACTAACGCCTGAAATATTCTGAATCGAACCTTTTAAACTGATGTAAAATATCAAACAAAGTTTTTCACCACTAATCCATTACAGCAAAATATAAATATTTTTATATAAATAAATTTTAAAAATATTTAAAAGAATAAAATGTTGTTATATTAAAAAAAAGGCGTTGATCGATTGATGAATTGATTAAAAAATAGCAAATTCATAAATATACGCAAAAAATAGGTATATGACATACTTAACAAAAGTTGAAGAATTTTGTAAAATCTATCGGAAAAATGTATAACATATACCGGGTGCGTGTCAAAAGTAGCTCACCCTTATAACTTTTTATTTCTTCAGATAAAAAACGAGATTTGATATGTTAATATTTTACATAAATTAGGATTGATTGAAATGACTACAACTTTTGGTTTTTAAATAGCACCCTCGGTATTTTTTCACTTTATACGATAGAAAATGACACTCGAATAGAATGACATATTCTATGGCAACTTTTGACATTTTCGCTTAAAAATCGTATTTCAATTTTAAATATAGACTGTCATGGCTGTGTCAAAAACCCTAATTTTTAATCAAGATGCCTTGGAAAAATATATTTGATCGTCTATTGTTTTTCCTGTTTTCTCCTAGCCAAAAAGATGCCCAAATCGTATTTTTAATCATATCTCAATTTGTCCAGATGGAATAAGTGTGGTTCATTAGCATATTTGGAAAAAGTATTTTTTACGAATAATTTGATACCACACACTTGGTATTTCGAGTCAAATTGTCGTTATGAACCAAATGTTACAATTTCAAATAAATCATATTAATAAAGTAAAAATATACCGAGGGTGCCATTTAAAAATCAAAAGTTGTGGTCATTTCCGGTGAAACAGGGAGTGGCCAAAAACAATTTCATTACGTCAATCAATTCTAATTTATGTCATATACTGACATACCAAATCTCGTTTTTTATCTGAAATAATAAGTACCATTTAAAAAAAATAATTTTTGAATTTTAAATAGTCGAAATTTATAAATATATTTAGAACACCCTGTAGCATCTAACTCAAATATCTTGACATAGGTATATATCTTTCTTCATGTCTATAAAATTATACCAAATTTTAACTGGAGTACTAAAATTTGGTTTTAAACTTCACTGATTCATCAGGAGCATCACTGACAATTTTGTATGACACTGAAATCTAACATTTCTTTAAACAAATTTACAAATATTACAAAAACTATTCGTTTTAGTTATATAACATTATACAGGGTGAGTTTCCTACGATGTTCTCTATGGGTATCTCGGAAACTACAGAAGATAGAGTAAAATAAAATTACACTAAATCACCACAATACACCAAAACACTTTTACTTTTACACTGGACGCGCGTTTCTCTAACCATATTAGCATCATCAGCAGATGATTATAATCATCAGCAGATCAGCAGATAATATCAGCATAATGTAATTTTATTTTGCTGTGTAACACCAAAGGTTCCAACCCTCAACTGTAAATTGAAGATAGAGTGTCGTTTAAATGGGGAAAGAATTGCAGTTTTGTGGGGTCATAAATATGCGCCTTTCAGATTTTTGAAAAAGTTCATGGCTTACTAGATATGTCGAAAAAAACAAATTTCGGCTATTTTAAAAATTGTCCCTAATTCTATTATAAGCTATTTTAGACAAAAAGTTTTCAGATAAAAGTTGTAGATAATCACACTGATATAAGCTGTAATATCTTTTCTTCGAAAAATTAATGAGTTATAGCCAATTCTTATAATTTTTAAACAATTTCACTTAGTTAGCCATGGAAACAAGTTCAATCGCCGTTGCTCTCAGAAATGTGAAGCAGTCACATCGAAACTTTGTAAATTATAATAAACAAAAATTGCAAATATGAATTTTTCAAATGAAGAAAAGCGTTTAGATACTCGCGCATCAATAGAGTGATTCCAACATGACTTTTATTATGACACACCCTCACCCCCCATAAAGAAAGAAATGTTAAAAATTATTTATGTCATAATCATACAAACGCAGGGATAGGAAGAGGTGGACTAATTGCATGGGCCTCCTCGATCACCTGACCTATCCATTTTGGATTATTTTATGCGGTATAGTTTAAAATAAGGTTTACAAAAGAACTTATGAATTAAGAGAGGCACTCGAGAAGTGGCGGTACGAGAAAAGTTTAATTAAGTCGACCGGTCCTTCTGTGAGAATAGGTAGTAATTCAGTTTTAAAAAGATGCAACTCAAAACAATGGCGGATTTTTTTAATATTTTCTAAAATAACTCAAACTGTATGTAGTGATATAATTTTTTTAAGTTTTAGTTTGTGTAATGTAAATTGTAAAGAACCGTTTGGTAATATATTCTGACTTTTTATAAGTTATAAATCATAACAGAATAAGAATACCATGCAATCTAAGTGAAATTAGTCAAGAAAGATAAGAATTGGCTATAACTAAATTTACCTTTTCTAACATGTCTTGAAAACCGTTCTCTAAAAAACGTAACAGTCACCGGTCAACGTATCCTCGAAAATGTATGGTCAAGAAAAGTTGAACCAATAGTCCTACACGCTCTTCTTCATTTGAAAAAATCATATTTGTAATTTTTGTTTATTTTAATTTACAAAGTTTGAATGTGACAGCTTCACATTTATGAGCGCAAAGACGATTAAACTGGTTTCCATGGCTAACTCAGTGAAATTGTTTAAAAATGATAAGAATTGGCTATAACTCAGCAATTTTTCGAAAAAAAACGCATTATAGCTTATATCGCTGAAAAGCTTAAAAAATGGCGCTTTTTATGAAGTCATGGCCAACTATGGTTTCCATTTAAAAAAAACATATGTTTGTGTCATATGTCAAAAATGACAGGCTTTAGAAAAAACGGAGGACACAGTATCATTAAGGATGTGATTATTTACAACTTTTATCTGAAAACGTTTTGCCTAAAATAGCTTATAATGGAATTAGGGACAATTTTTAAAATAGCCGAAATATGTTTTTTTCGAAATATCTAGTAAGCCATGAACTTTTTCAAAAATCTGAAAGGCGCATATTTATGACCCCGTAAAACTGCAATTCTTTCCTTATTTAACCGACTCTCTATCTCCAGTAGTTTCCGAGATACCCATAGAGAACATCCTAGGAAACTCATCCTGTATAATATAAAAAGTTATAAAATTTTACGCAGAATAGAAAAATAAAATAAAAAATAGGGTGTTGCTTTTAAAAAACTTATAAAAAATGTCTATACCTATGTGGCGGATTCATCTCTCCAAAAAATCCTCTATGGGTATTTCGCCACTGCAAAAAAATCTACAAAATAAAATAGTTATTTTATGTAAACACGTCTGCGTTAATCCCAAACGGTAACTACTTGTCAGAAGTTAGGTTTAAAGATATACAAATTTGCCTAACGAACAAAAAAATGCTTAACGCTTCGAAAAGTTTATCTCTTTCCGTCGCGCGTCGTCGGAAGCAAAAAAAAATATACAAAGTTATTAGTTTAAACCTTATTATTTATCTTTATTTTATTTTGTAGATATTCTTGCAGTGGCGAAATACCCATATAGGATTTTTTGTATAAAACATATGTTATATCCGCCACACTTTTTGAAGCACCCTGTAAGCTCAGTAATAGTTTTAAAATGTGCATCTTAACCTTCCCTATAACATTTCTATTTCACAGTTTTTAATAATTCTCAAAACAAATGTAATAATGAACTTTATTTTATGGTGAACTCACCCTAAAGATGCGTCCACATTGCTCGTGATCCTGCTCGCGCTATTGCTTCCTATTGTGCCTGCGTTGCTTGCGCTTTTTTGTTTTTTTTTGTTTTTGCTGCAAACATCTACGCGATTTGCAAACACGCAGAATGTTTTTTAATATTTTTTATCGCATGTTCGCAACTGATTTTGAAGGACTTATTAACTTAGTTGGCCCCCGTATAGAAAGAAAAAATACAACTTTCAGGAAGGGTATTCCGGTTAAAGAAAGAGTTAAGTAAATATTGGCCATAACATTAAGATTCCTTGCAACTAGAGACCCACATACCGGTTTGTGTTATTTATTCAAAGTTTCCAAGCAAATTATTTCAAAAATAAAACCAAGCGTGTGCCAAAATATAAATAAAGTTCTCAAAGATCAGATTAAGATAAGTAGGCAATATAAATATAGAGTGATATTTTAATTAAAGGTATATTTAATATTATTAATCCAAGAAGAAAATACAAATATTTGTAATTCTGAACAAAATAAAATAAGAAAAATCATGGTAGTATCATCATACTGCTTACTTTAGGGATTATCAGTGAGACGTATCCTATTCGGACAAAAGGTAGACGTCGCGCGTCGCGTCACGTCGGGCTAGTTCAAGTATATGTACGTCGTGCAAGCCAACGTGAAAACGACGTTGGGATAAAAATGGTACGTTGTAATTTTGTACGTCGACAGATCGTTGGATTTACCGACTCGGATCCAACGACGTCGCTTTTAATAGGAAAGCGACGTCACCGGTCCTATCACCAGCACCCGACCTAAATTTGCACAAAGTCTGACGTCGCTTCAGATCAGATTTAGTTCGAAGTCAGATATATGCTACTTGGGATGCTCGCATGGCTTCGAAGCGTCTTTTTGATGTACTTGTTTTGTTTGATGTACCGACTGTCATGTTTTTCGTGTTTCACATGTTCGTTCGACCTGCTCGCGAGCAATGTGGACGCAGCTTAAGAAATATTATTCTTTATTTATATTTTACTTAGGTAAAATTGCATTCAGTCCTGTTGAAAGTAACTAAAATTATAATATTTTCTTATTTTAATAGGATTTAATATTTATTTAGATCTGGTGCGAAGATTTCCACACAACAACACGATCTATCCACACCAGTACATCTAGCTTGCGCCCAAGGTATAACATAAATAACTATTCAGCACTTTTTACTAATCACTAAGCATATTCTTTTCTTTAATATCATTACAGGCGCTATAGAAATAGTGAAAATCATGTTCCAAATGCAACCAGAAGAAAAGCAGGCATGTTTGGCATCGTGTGATGTACAGAAGATGACACCGTTGCATTGTGCCGCCATGTTTGACCATCCCGAAATTGTTGAGTACCTGATAAGCGAGGGAGCCGATTGTAACCCGATGGATAAGGAGAGGAGGTCGCCATTGTTGTTGGCGGCCTTGAGAGGAGGTTGGAAAACGGTAAGAAAATGTACAGGTTATCCAAAATTCGATCTTTATAATATAGAATTTTTTGTTACGTTTCGTCTCTCTCTTTCATCTTTGGGCTGGTCTCTTGCTGTTTTACTTAAATTTGAAGAGTTTCTAAGGTCCCAAATCCAGTCATCGCATTTATATGAAAAATTCGCGGTCCCCTGTCGAAAACTGCGCATCGAAAACAAAAAAAGACAAAAATACCGATGAAAAAGACCAGTCTCAATAAGTAGTTTTCAATAATAAAATTTGCGGATTATCGCGTATTTTTTAAAATATTAAATAAAAAAATTTGTACTATTTGACGTTGCGGATGAATTTTGACCACAGATGAACCACAGAACATGCTTATTTTGACATGTGATACGGACAAATTACGCGCAATTTCGGTAGTATTAGTTTTTAATGATTTTTTTTTTTAATTGTTATGTAGTTTAATTTCCCTATTTAACCAAAACTCTACATTTATTATATACATTTATCACAAACAAATAAAGAAAATCATTGAATATTAAGTAAACAAACAAAAATATATTAGTAAAAACCTTGTAAAAACCAACCAAATCAACCCCCCCAAATATCCAACCTAACCAACCAAAGCAACCACCAAAATAACCAATCTAACCAACGCCCAATAAATAACCACCCAACCAAAAACACTGAAACCAACGCAATCAAATCACGCTATAAATTGTTTTTTTGTTGATTCCGCATTATTCCGTAACTATCAATAAATACATTATTCCGCTCATAAAACACATTATTATTAACTTCTAAGTGTGTTGTTATGAAAATTTAGAAAATATAGACATATTTAGCATGGGCAGTTTTCGTCATGGTAACCAAAATTCGTAATAATGACTCTTTCCATAAAAAATGATGTGTTAGCCCAAATTACATTTACGAGTAAACCGTATACGGGTACTCGTATAGGAGTACGAGTTTTATTTACATTTAAATTTAGAATCGTATGCCATTAAATTGTGTAAATATGGCGCCTAGTAAAAGAAAGCGTGCTGCTATAGCCAGAATTCTAATGTTAATAACGGATTAATAATGAAAAAAAGAATAGAATGTTAACAGATTGTTAAAAAAAGGCGAGTGTGGGTTAAAGCCTCTTTACAATCAAGAAGTGTTTTGGGAATTGAAGAAAAATTATTAACCGAGTTATTAACTCTATATTCTTTGCTTCTTATATCCCCTAAACACTTCATATTCTGGTAAAGATCTATAAATCCATCAATATCCTCCGGCGATAACTTATTTGCCGCCATTTTTTTCAATAAACAAAACCGGTACTCGTAATGAAATCGGATCTCACTCAGCTTTGAAACAAACACGTATACGATCTACGACTTCCTATTTACATATGCGAAATCGTATACGATTTCGCATATGTAAACGCAAAATGTTCACTGAAACTCATGGCGTGTTACTTGGCTGGTCAACAACAGAGAGTTTTTATCAGAGATTCTCCTTCGACTTTATTGCCTGTAGATCGTGGTGTTCCTCAGGGCAGTATTCTTGGTCCACTTCTGTTCTCTATTTATACGGCAGATTTTAAAACGTATTTAAAAAATTTATCTTCACATCAGTATGCTGATGATTTTCAAGTCTACTGTTCCTTGAGTAAAGATTTCAAAGCCTCCGAAATCAAAATAAATGAAGATCTGAGAATAATTTACGACATTTCACACCATCATGGTCTTTTCTTAAACCCTAATAAGACTCAACTAATTTTTGTGGGTAAGAACTCGCCAGATGTTTCTCAAAAATTAAATATCGTACTTGACAATATCACCATTACACCTGCTAAAAACTGCAAAAATCTTGGGGTTTATTTTGGTTCTAAACTGAGATTTGAAAAGCATGTATCATGCTTTTCAAATCATGTATCATCAAATCATGTATCATCAAAAGCATGTATCAGATTTGAAAAGCATCTATTTTGCAGAAATCGTATTGTAAGTTAAAGACACTATATTTATATAAAGATTTTCTTAACAGAGATGTTAAATTGACCTTGTGTAAAAGCCTAATTCTTCCATTGGTCTTCTACTGCGACACTGTCTACTGGCCAGCTCTACTTAACAAGGACAAACAAAGCTTAACAAAACTTGTCAACTCTTGCTTAAGGTATTCATTTGGTACTCCTAAATTTGATCATGTTTCTCCTCTTTATAAAGAATCGGGCTGGTTAGGACTTGAACAGTATGCTTTTATACATACGTGTATACTAGTTTATAAAATAGAAAAATTTCGAGAACCTCATTATTTGTTCGACATACTTGTCAAGGCAGCTGACCTCCACGACCTTAATACCAGAAAACGCAGCAGTTATGTTGTGCCTAAACACCGGACAGCCTTGTTTGAAAAATCGTTTTCGTATTATGCTTCGAAATGCTACAATTCACTTCCTCCGTACATTAAAAGCTGTCCGTCCATTGCAGGTTTCAGGAAATCTCTTGATGGTTTCAATTTAACTTTATAAAAGTATTATTGAATTGTACCTTAAGCTCATGTATGGGTGTTTTATATGTCTTTTTTTTTTGTTCCTTTATATAATTTAGATTTATATTATATTAAAATTGTTATATTGTTGTATTAGTATTGTATGTGTATTTTGTATTTTTTTTAAGGTGGTTAGATTGAGTAGCGTATGCTAGACCTCGCCACCTACATAAATAAAGTCAAATTATTATTATTATTATTATTCGTTTACTCTTATACGACTTACTCGTAAAAGTAATTTCGGCTTTAGAGAGGGTCAGTGGTTTATGATAGGAACTTTCCAGAAAATCATCAATTAATTTTAATGATTTTCTGGAAATCATTAAAATTAATTATCCAAAAAAAGTATAAAATGTGGCATATCATTGTATTCAGGAGACCAAGTTCTTTCAAAACCTGAAATGAAAAATGCAGGTCCATATTTAAAAAAATTAAGTTGGCCTCTGTATCTCACAAATTTATCAGCTAATTTGAAAATCTAAAAATAAAAAAAAATAAATCTATATATATCAGATAGCCCTAATAAAGTGTCTATGAGAATGTGTCATTAGGTTATTGATTTTCTAAAAAGGAACGACAGGCAAAAATAAAATTGATTTTCAAAAAAATCCGTTTTTTTTTTCAAAAAACTCAGCAATACTTGAAATTTTTAAAACTTTTTTGGTGGCATCTTGATGAACATCCCAAAGCGGGGGCAACTTCGCCCCAATTTAACCATGTTCGTATCTATTACGGTTACCGAGATACCAATGCTCGTATCTCGAATTTGTAGTATTCTATATTACCCTCCAACACGTGTATAGCTCTAGACCAACATAAAATATCTAAAAAGTGTTTCGCAAAAATTTGAAATCATATTTCAGAAGTTATAAAGAAGTTTATCCAATTTTAAGATTGGCTCTCTTATAAAGTTCCCTTGTTCTAAAATAAATACTTATTGCTTTCTTAATATCAAAACTTTTTAACCGTTATTGTTTGTTCTATTATGATCTACCTACTTTCTGCAATTATTAAAGTAATTTTATAGCTAGATCATGGGGTACTAGAAAAACCTATTTTTTATATTGAAATACCATTTTTTTTTCGTTTTTGTTTACAAGCTATCTAAAATAATCATAACTTTGAACAGAATTTTCTGTATTAAATCTTCGAGTTTTTAAAATACCATATAATTAAAAAGTTTTCAGGTCAAATGAGCTTAATCTCAAAGACGCGTTTTTTGATTCAGGTGAACTGATCAAGTCACAGGAATTCAACTGACTTGAATATTCAGTGTTTACATATATGATATCAAAAAAGTTTCTGTTAGTTGATTGAAAAGTGCGTAAGATTGTACTTCAAACTGCCAAAATTTTGGCAATGCAATTGAAAAACTAGATGGAAAAGAAGAATATAGGTCAACCTAATAATCATAAGTAGTTCTGCACTATTATTATTATATCACTATTATATAGCACTATTATTATATATATTACATTTAATACCTAATCTATAGTTAAAACATTCTATATATTACAAAAAACTAAGGGTGGATACAAACCAATTTAATTTTTTGTTTGAAAACTTGCATTTAGAATTAAAGAACGAGACGCATTAATGCCTAACACTATTGGTACTCGTCCGTAAGCTACAAATTATTCTTCAACTATAAAATAAAAACACTAAATCACCACAATACACCAAAACACTTTTACTTTTACACTGGACGCGCGTTTCGCTAACCATGTTAGCATCATCAGCAGATAATTATAAACTAAAGTACAATCTACAAGTTGAGCGTTTATATACTCGCCCAGTGGGCACCGAGTGGGCGTGGCAGAATCTAGCCAACCGAGTCAGAGCCAACTGAGCATAACAGTTAGATTTCCACCACTAGAGTAGTAGGAACAAAGAACTTGAAGGAATTGGACCGTTGTCTCTGTTCATACTATCTTTACATTTATTAATTCTGATGCTTTCATATGCATCTAATTGCCTGTAATTTGAGACTTGTTTAATTAAGTTTAAATTATTAAGATCTATACAATGTTCTTTATCAACAATATGTTCGGCAACGCAAGATTTATCCGGTCTACCATATCTTATCTGAGCTAAATGTTCTTTAAATCTAGTTAATATCGATCTTCTAGTTTGCCCAACATATTTCTGATTGCAATCTTTACAAGAAATTTCATAAATACCCGACCTTTCCAGTGGAGGTGTTTTATCCTTTGGATTACCTAATAATTGTTGTAATTTATTATTAGCTCTATACACAAGTTTATAATTGACATTCTTAAAAATTCCTTTTAGACCACGGGATAACTCTCTATCAAACAGTATCGAAAACTTAAGATAAGATTAAAATCGAACATCTAAGTTCGATTTTAAAACTCGATATTTAGACGTATCTTTCTCCACTCGAAAAGTCGAATTTTCAGAAATCATTAACCTATACCTACGTTTTCTAATTAATTTATCAACTAGTGAAAGAGAATATCCATTACACTCGGCTACATTCCTAATGTAATCTCTTTCTATTTCATATCTTTCGTTGGAAAGTGGGAAACTAAGTAATCTATGAACTAAGAAATTTAAACTAGCTATTTTATGTTCAACATTATGATGTGATTATCTAATAATTGTTGTAATTTATTATTAGCACTATACACAAGTTTATAATTGACATTCTTAAAAATTCCTTTTAGACCACGGGATAACTCTCTATCAAACGGTATCGAAAAATATTAATACGTATCTTTCTCCACTCGAAAAGTCGAATTTTCAGAAATTATTAACCTATACCTACGTTTTCTAATTAATTTATCAACTAGTGAAAGAGAATATCCATTACACTCAACTACATTCCTAATGTAATCTCTTTCTATTTCGTATTTTTCGTTGGAAAGTGGGAAACTAAGTAATCTATGAACTAAGAAATTTAAACTAGCCATTTTATGTTCAACACTGTGATTCATTAGGAATATATCTGCATGTGGTGGTATTTTTCATATAGATATCAAATTCCAGGCAATTATTAGCATTTCTAATAACTAATACATCTAGAAATGGTAATCTGTCGTTGTTCTCAATTTCATGCGTAAATTTAATGGAAGGAAAACGATTACTTAACTTAGAAATAAAATTATCTATGGTGTCTGAATGTGTATCAAAAACAGCAAAAATATCATTCACATACCTAAACCATACTCTTGGAAAATACTCAAACTGATTCTTAGCCTCCACTTCAAACCTGCTCATGAATAAGTTAGCCAAAAATGGAGACAATGGATTACCCATTGCTGTACCTGCCCGCTGTTCAAAAAAGTTAAATTATTAAGTTAATATTCAGTCACAGTTTTGTTGTCGAGACCATTTGCGTTCAGTAATTCCTTCAAGTAGCCTAAAGTATATGTGGAATTGGAACACTGGGGAACAACGAAAATACATCAAAGGAGACCAAAATTTCACCTTCATGCAATGTTATATCTTTAATTTTGTTTATGAATTCAATATTATTTTTAACTGCGAAAGAAGGTTCATGATCAGGTGAATTTTCGAACTCCCTTGATAACCATTTTGCCAAATTATAAGTCGGAGAACCTACAGCCGAAACAATTGGGCGCATAGACTTGCCCGTTTTGTGAATTTTTGGCAAAGCATACAATTTTGGTAATGAGGGATTGGATACTTGCAATTTTCTCTTTAAAGAAAGATCAATAAGGGTGTTACATTCTTTTAGACTTTTTTTAACGTCTGCTACCATCTTTGACAAAGGATTCTTTTTCAAATTTATGTAGGGGCCATTATCGATTAAGTTGTTAACCTTATCGTAATAGTCTTTTTTATCTAATATAACAACCTTATTTCCCTTATCAGCTTTTAGGTAGAAACAATCTTTGTTACGCAAACTCTTGGCAATATTGTGCTCCTTGTTAGATTTTAATGATTTACTTGAAACGATATTTTTTGATAACTGATTTCTACAAGCCTCTCTTGTAAATACTTTAGAAGCCTCGGGCAAGTGCTGAATAGCAGTTTCAACACCAACGACGATTTCCTCCAAAGCGCTACCAGAGTTGGGCAATGCAAACTTTAAACCTTTGTTTAATAAACTGAGCTCTTTTTTATCAAAAGTCTGCGAAGAAAGATTCTCTACTATGTTTATGTCTCTTTGGAAAACATGTTTGTTTTTAAAGCTTTTTAATTTTTTAAACTTACTATTCAAAATGGACATTTTCTTAACAAATTTTGAATTGATAACCACAAACATATTTCTTTGAAAGAGACACCAACATTCATACTCTACATTAGTTAGCTTATAAGTAATAATTACTTATAAGCTTACTATACAGAAATTTGATTTCTAAATCAAGCCATTTTTGTTTTGCAATTTTCTCTACCTAATTACTAACGTTACTTTTCGAAATATCAACTTTAATAAAACTAGGATAAACTGAATTGGAACTTACGATAAAGATTCAGTTCCGTTGTTTCGAATTCTGTGTGTTCCATATACTACACTCATAAATTTTTCATAAATATTAATAAGCTTCAAAGAATTTTCTTTTGACTATCTACTTGTCGCCATTTAAACGACTTCCTGAGCGACCGTAGTCAACTGGGACATAAATCAACTCATCTGAATAACTGCACTTTAATTTTCGATAACAATATATATATATATATATATATATATATATATATATATATATATATATATATATATATATATATATGTACATCTTAGTACATATAGCATCTCAGCTACTACTCAGTAATACTCAGTGCATATATATAAGTACTACTTATATACTATGTTTGTATCATCGAGCAAAGCACGCGTGATCATAAAACTTTTTAATAGTACTAGAGGTATTTGCATACTAAAGTATTTTACGCATCAAAATTAGCCATGACAGCGAGGGTCTTTGAGTTTGTTTTAAAGGTTTAAGCACCATTACATTTGCTTATCAATACAAGAATTAGGCTCAAAGAAACCCTAATAAAAAATTAGAAAGAAACTATTCAAATACGATATATTTTTTAAATAGTTGAAGGTGTGTTTGTATTATTAAATGGATTTATTTTTTATTTTTTAAACAGGTTCACACATTAATACGACTAGGAGCAGATATCAACATAAAAGACATCAACAAAAGGAATGTTCTCCATTTGGTAGTCATGAATGGAGGAAGATTAGAGCAATTTGCTGCTGAAGTGAGTAAGGTAAGTAGTTGATTAGATTAGTTGCTTATTATAACTTTATTTTAACAAGAAAATGATCTCAAAGAAATAAAAACCAAATAAATACTAGTCAAAATTTGAACTCTTTTAGTCTATCAAGCTTACTGACTGAGCAATAATTTTTCTAATTTTGATATGACAATATCTAACATCTTATAAGTTGTTTTAGTGTTCAGTAAAGCTTTAAAATTATAATAATTTCAAATATTATGACTCTAACACGAAAACTGGCCTCTCTGTTTATATTTCTCTGAAAAAAATATATTTCTTTATTTTTCCCTTAATACAATGCTGTAAGACTAGTTAGAAGGTAACAGTACATCTTATTGATTTAATTAAGCAGTAGACTAGATTTTAGCGCTTGTAATATCCAAGTAATGGCACAAAATCTTAGGTAACATGTAATTTTATAGAATAGAAAGAAAATATAGACAGTTTGAAACACGATATATTTCATAAACCTTTAGAGAAATGTAGCACGCAATTTTTTTCTTAAATTGTATGTAAACGATTGTAGTAGGGTTGTCTCTAATTTTATCTTTTATGTTCTCAATTTTCACTACATTTTGTTTTGTAGTAATTTATTAGAGCAATACATAAATAATAAAAATAATACTAAAAATAATACATAAATAATAAAAAAAATGTCATAAAAGAAAAAAAAGTGCTTTTTTAATTTTTTTTTTGTTTTAACTAAAGAAATATTAAAAATTATATGATGAGTTTATACATTTTATTTACTGCGAGTATTTACGGTAAGTGTGATTCTAATGCACTGATTTAAATATAGTTTAAAAATGCAACTAGAATCACATATTTTAATAAGCACAATTTAATATATTGCAATAAGCACAATCTAATATATTGCATAATAGGTTTCAAACGGCAATATTTAGTGGTGATAGATGATAGTAACTTTTACTATTTCTCAACAATTACAAATACAGGGAGCATGCACTAGAACAGTAGTTTTACACTATTATAATATAATACAGGGTGGTTCGAACTGTATTCCGGAAACTTCGGCAGCATATTCTGCAGATAAAAACAAGTAAAAGAATTCATATAAATATATGTCCAAAAATGCTTAATTTTGGAGATACAGGGTTTAGAAGTTTCATTTTTATTTCGATTTTTTTCAAATAATTTCTGAAGTAACCATATATAGATGAAAATTGGTGTCTGAGAGTTTCTTCATATGAGAAATTTCAATTTGATGTCAATATGGCTCCTATTTGTAGCGGGCGCCACCTACATGTGTTTTAACTGTTTTGAAGAGTAATAACTTTTCTCGTCCGTACCGGTATAAAACTATTGAGTAAAAAATATACATTTACAACATTTTTTACGTAAAAACGGTCTCTTAGTAAAAATTGCTACGAGTAACGGGTCTCGAGATATTTGGAATCGAACTTGTGAATATCTGTATTTATTGACATAAATTAAACATGTTGACTAAATAGTTATTAGACTGAAACCATAAATTTGAAATGTTGTTGTGCCAAAAGTTCAACAGAAACTGTTTTATCATCATTTTTCCGCAGAAAAATTTATGATTAATTTAAAAAAATAAAAATTTTACAAATTTATTATTTCAGTCAAATAACTGTCTACTGTGTTTTTGTACTCTCTACTATTTTTTGCCAATAATGATATGTTTTGACTATTCTTATGATATTTTTGTGACTGTTCACAGTCTTATATACATATATATAAACCTGTAATGCTCTGTTCACAGTCTTATATACCTGTATAAAACGACTGACACAGTCGTTTTATACAGGTACGTCATATAAATATATACGGACGAAAGGTTATTAATCCTCCAAACAGTTAAAACACATTTAGGTGGCGTCCTCTACAAATAGGAGTCTTATTGACATCAAAATCAAATTTTCCATATTAAAAAACTCCCAGACACCAATTTTCATTCATATATTGATGTTACTTCAGAAATTATTTGGAAAAAATCGAAATAAAAATGAAACTTCTACACCTACATTATACGAACATACATTTATTGACGTTACTTCAGAAATTATATGGAATAAATCGAATTAAAAATGAAACTTCTACACTCTGTATCTCCGAAACTAAGCATTTTAGGACATACATTTATACGAACTTATTTACTTATTTTTATTCGCAGAATAATATGCTGCTGAAGTTTCCGGAATACAGTCTGGACCACCCTGTATAGTAAGTACAGTAATACTACAATAATACCTAATGTATTTCTTTGCGTTTTGTATCCTTTAGCGTTGAATAAACTGTATCTTACAATGCGTTCCATTATACACACAACCGCAAAATCTAGGGATATTTTTTCAAAATTGCCTCTAATAGCTCATTTTTGTTCGATTTCTTGTTTTTATAAAATTTTAGTGTTTTGTGGGATAAAATAAAGTAATTTTATACAAAATATTGTTTTATACTAATCCAAAACTAAACTTTTGAAAAAAAAACATAAAAAAATATTAACTAATTAAGTAGCAAACACATTATTTATTGTGTCACAAATGTTTATTTAATAAGTTGTATGACCTCCCCTCTGTTATTCACAACTGCCTGACATCGCCTGGGCATGCTCAAAATCAAGTTATCATATCGATGTCAGGCTGTGGTATGTTATTCCAGGCATTTTGTAGAGCTAAAAAAGATTTCTTCTGTTGTCCCTTGGTATTCCCATATGTAAAACTCTTCGTTGCAACATATCCCACACATGCTCAATGGGATTTAAATCTGGAGATTGCGATGGCCACGGTAAAACATCGATATTGTTGTCGTCCAAGAAGTCCATTGCAATCCTAGCTGTATGAGGTCTGGCGTTGTCATGCATGTATAGGAAATTGGGACCCATAGCTGCCGCATATGGAATGACAAGAGGTCCAAGTATCTGATCAACATATGACCTACCCGTTAAAAAGTTCTGCAACAAAATGAGGTCAGTTATGCCAACGATGCTTATTCCACCCCAGACCATTATTGTTCCTCCTCTGTAAGAGTGAACCTCCTGAACATTTTGAAGGCGAATCAAATTACCAGGCTCTCTCCAGACACGAACCCTTCTTGAATCAGGATGTATGCCAAACCGGGACTCCGTGAAAAGGACTGTAGCCCAATTTTCATTTTGCCAAATTAAAGGTTCCTGTGTCCACTGAAGTCGAGTACCTCGATTGCCCCAGGAAAGAGGTTGAACTCTCAAAGGGCGTCGACTGCGAAGGCCATTCTCATGTAAACGTCTACGCACAGTATCATCCGAAATGACAATGCCATGAACTTGTTGCACCATTATTTGTAGCTCAGGTGCCGTAATATTGGGATGTCTCCGAGCATTAAGTTGCAGAAATCGCTCTTGTACTGGGTTGGTAATACGCCCACGTCCCCTGTGCCTTTCTGCCACATCACCCTTTTCTCGATATCGTGAGCAAAGACGTGATATCACGCTTTCTGAAGTACCCATTTCTCTCGCAACATCAGTTTGTCTCATACCACCGTCCAAAAGACCAACCGCTCTAATAATTTCTTCTCGAGTTAAATGCCTACGCTGCATGGTTAACAATAATACACTGATGTTTCAAAAATAAAAGTAGAGAGATTAGCTTTCAAGTATACGTACACAAAAGGTACCATAAATTTCACTTAAAAATATTTTATTTATGTTTTGCAAAAATACAGCAAAATAGACGCACTTAGTAAAGGTAAACAAACTGAAATAGCGATAAGGTGTTCTTTTTTGTATTTGAAAGAATTCATGAAAACATTTTTGAAAGATTTTCGCAGCTACAAAATAAAAATATAGGCAAAAATTAAACCCTAGACTTTGGGGTTGTGTTTATTTTACAATTTTGCATTCAGTCAATTGCACGATATTATACTATTAAACTATTAAAATAAATATTTTTACATCATAACATATAATTCAATCGTGCACACATATGTTTTGGAGTTTTAGATTTTTTCACTTAGTGTGCTCAAACACAAAGAATGTTTTAATTTAAATACAAAACAAAATCTGTATAACTTTTCTTCATATTCAATTTTATGTCAAAAATAACTGTTTTTTTTGTTTCAAGTTTTGCCCTCTTAGAATTATTTTAATAATTAATTAAATATTATACAGGGTAAATTATAGTCGACATTCTTTTTCGTGTTTTTTAGCGTTACTAACGTTTCTAACGTTACGGCAAAGAAACTGAAACTTGACTGACATATATGTGAATATACCTTTAATATTTTTTATTTATTCGTTCATTACCTACTTATACTTTTAAATTGGAACTTTACAGACATAATAATATGTGAATATACCTTTAATATTTTTTATTATTCCTTCGTTACCTACTTATACTTTTAAACTGGAACTTGACAGACATATGTGAATATACCTTTAATATTTTTTATTATTCCTTTATTACCAACTTATACTTAAACATAGATAACAATACTACTTTAACGAACAGATGTAGCTTTAATCTTTACAAACTTCATTTTTATACAGTTCCAATAAACTAAAATCTATAACTTTATATACTGCACCTGAAACTCTAATAAAATTGAAACATCTCTTATCGAAAAACCAATAATCTCTAGTTCGTACTTCTCTAAAAACCAACTAAATTGTCCTTTAGGCCAAGACCAATGAGAGCCTTCTACAACTCCTGAACGAAAAGGACCTTACCGGTTGTTCCCCGTTGCACTACGCGAGCAGAGAAGGGCACATCAGAAGTTTGGAGAACCTAATAAAATTGGGCGCTTGTATCAACTTGAAGAATAACAATAACGAGAGTCCCTTACATTTTGCGGCGAGGTAAGTTTGAGCGTTTTGCTGAGTGCTGAGTGGTGTATTATAAGCTGGAACATAATATAAGGTCGTAAAGTTAAGTCCTTTAAAAGGACTTGCGAAGTTGTTAGTGTAATAGGTTTAGTTAGTTTTTATAGTAATTTTATATTGCTTTTTATATGAGGGGTTTAATCTTAAAAGAAACTGAAAAGAAAAATACTAATTTCTTTTGAGTTAATATTAGATTATTCCAAAGTTAAGTGTTTTAAGACAGTTTTGTAACTTTTATAGATAGGAACTATTTATAGAAACCAAATCTACTGAAAAATGTTGGGGAAAAATAAAATAACAATATTAGTTTTTGGCTTAAGTATATTGTACTTTGTTAAAATGTTTGTTACTCCTTAAATATTTGTTTCCTAAATAAATTTGTTTAAATTATTAGTTTAAAAGTTATACTACGTTAAATATAAATAAAAGCACATTTATGTGGAAAGCAGCAAGGCATTTTTTAAAGGAAATTCAGCTTGCCAGTGACTTTTTACTCGTAAAAGAATAATTCCTAAATTTGGGGAAGTATATTTCCCCGATTGTCAGAAACAAAAGGAATAAAGAAAAAAAGAGTTAAAATGTCCAAATTTATGTTATTGTAGAAGATCTAACAGTCTTTTTGTTACTGAAAATTATTATAGTCAGAAATAACTATAAAAAATTATTATAGCCATAAATGACAATAATAATTTTATTTTTATTTTATTTTTATTTTATTTTTTTCCTTTAGGTATGGTCGCTACAATACAGTAAAACAACTTCTAGACTCAGAAAAAGGTAATTTCATTATTAATGAAAGCGATGGAGAAGGAATGACACCGCTACATATTGCGTCAAAGCAGGTAAAGTATTATAGTATAAACCTTCTTACATTTTTGTGTATCAATAAGACTTAACTGTCATAAGTACTGAAAAAATACTGGTACCTAATTCATCAAATATTTGTGACATTATATTTATGTCACAGTTATATGACATTTTATCTTCTTCAAGTGTCATGTTCCTAGTGAACGTTGACGACTGCCATGTTAACAATATCTCTGTATCGCCCTCGATCTTGCGCCACATGGAGTAATTCATTCGCGCTCAAGCCCGTCCATTGCCGCAAGTTCCTCAACCACGAAAGCCTCTTGCACCCAATCCGCTTCTATCCTTCGATTTTTCCGTTAAGGACGAGTCGGAGAAACTCAATCGATGTCCGCTGGTTATGGCCAAGGTGTTCAAGTTTTCCTCGTTTGATAATATTCGGAAGTAGTCTGACATGCTCCATTCTTCGAAGAACTTCTTCATTTCTGGTTCTGGTGGTCCAAGATATTTTAAGCATTCTTCTGTATGTCCACATTTCCTATGCTTCGATTTTATTTATCGTTTCTTTTTTAAGTGTCCACGTCTCACATCCATACAAAAGAATCGACCACACATAACACTTTGTAAACTTCTCCCGTATTTTGATGTTTATTGAACTCTTTCAGAGCAGCGACTTAAACTTCTGAAATCTATTTCTTGCTTGTTCTGTTAATCCAACAGCCTAGGTAGGTATTTAAACTTCGCCACTCTCTCCAACGTCTCCATATGACATTTAATTTACTTCAAACTAGCTAATACGGCTAGCTGATAGCATACGGAAGTGAAGTAATGTGAGTGTTTGTCAATTTTGTGAAACGGTTGTCTGATTTACCGAATGATCTGCCATGATAAAGGCCAATTAATTTGAGAGTTGTTGTAATTTAATCGTTATATTTTGTCTGCATTTCGATTGAAGTATGTTCTACATATTTTAATATCTTTATAGATTTCGATATGCTATTTTTCCACTATTTCCTTTCAAGTTCTATTCTATAATGGCTCACATGTCACTGATTTGTAGTAGACATCAATTATTATAAGTAAGCTATAAGCGTGCGTTACATGAGATGTCAATTGTCGAAGATGTTTGGGTTCCAAACCTAATTTAGCCAATATAGGTAGTAAGAATGGTAGAATTCTTGAAGTAAAATGTTAGAGTAGTGAGGTAATTCCAGTAATTAAAGATTGTTCAATGAAAAGATCAATGGAAAGACTGATCTAAGGAAAAAGGGAAGATATACTCGAAGATAGTGAAACAGCCATATAAATTTCCCTGGTTTAAGAAATTTCCCAATTTTTTTTGGCAGAAAACTAATATATAATTCAAGAATCAGAAGTGGACATTGCTTAGTTTATATATATTTAAATAGGATTGACGTGTAAACTAGAGCTCTTATTGTGATTGTGGAGAAATAGGATCAATTACTCGTATTTAATTTTTTACGCAATTTTTTCCGATATTTTAATAGTTATTCTGGTATTTGGGACAGAGAAGAAGAGAACAAATCAAAAATTACTATCATCTACAGTAGTGAAATTATTTTTATATTATATCAAAATAATTAAAAAAAATCTGTCCTCTTAGTATAATTTTGACACTACTAATATAATCTTAATATTGAATTTTGATTTTAGGGCCACACAAGAGTTGTCCAATTATTACTAAACAGAGGCGCACTTCTTCACAGAGATCATAACGGCAGAAATCCTCTACACTTAGCCGCAATGAACGGATATACTCAAACTATTGAACTCTTGCTCTCGGTGCATTCGCATTTGCTCGATCAAACAGATAAGGATGGCGTAAGAATAACAACCTATTACTTCCAATAACCAATTCATTTTATTTTTTCTCCTTAATTTAAATAGAACACTGCCACTGCATCTGGCAACGATGGAGAACAGACCAAGCATAGTATTGCTGTGTCTATGAAATGAAAATTGCTGTACAACCAGTCGGATATGAGCGCTATCGACTACGCCATTTACTATAAGTATCTGGAAGCTGCCTTGGCAATGGTTACACACGAGGATAGGTAAGAAGGGGTCGAAGTAGAGCATAAACATCTTTATAAGCTTGTAAATGGGAAATATTGAGAGTAAAATAAGCATCTAATGTTCTATTAACATTTGAATTAATATGCATTACCGTTTTCATTATATCACTTCAATTATTATACTTAGTTACGGTATCATAACCTTTCATATTATTATCCAATAAAAATAAATAAAAAAAAAAAAAAAAAAAGAAAACAGAAAAAAAAACAGTTGGTTTCAGAATCTTCAACCAGTTCTTTCAGTAGCTTTCAGTTTCAGAAATCTTAAAGTAAAAATAATTCGGCGCTTTTTGGACTGGAGACCTAACTATTTTTAATTATTAAAACTCCCTGTGAGTAAATCATAACATATTATAGACAGATGTTATGGAAAAACAGTTCGACAACTTATGTAAACATTATACAGAGTTCCCCGAATTGTCTTTACAAAGAAAAAACTTTTAAAAAAAAAATTTTGAGAAAAATGCATTCTTTATCAAAATATTTTTGCTTGTTTTTTTTTTTTTTTTTTTTATAAGAAAAATAAAAAAAAAAAAAAAAAAAAAAAAAAAAAAAAAATCCTAAAAATCAAACGCGTTTCTATTTGGTTAATATAACTTCGCTTTCATTCTTTCATATTCTTGATAGATTGTTATTCATATAATTCATATAACGTTAATATTTTTTGCTTTTTAAAGTGAAAAGATCCTTTTGAAAAAAAAATTATTTAGTTCAATACTACGGTAAAGCCCCATACTCACACTTCGCTCCTTTGTCCCTTCCTCGCGTTAATTCCTCGCGTTTCTTCGTCCCTTCGCTTCCTCCGTCTCCATTCGATGCTTGAAATTAGTCAATTATGCAACAACACAACCACAAAAATATTTTAATATAGCAGCTACATGTTTATTACGAAACCTCTAAAATTTTTAAAAAAATCGAAAGCTGCATAATTTTATTTTCTTTCAAAAAAAAAAAAAAATGTCAAAAATAAAAATTGAATTTATAATATATCTTTTTTAATAAATGCCGAATAGTTCAGTATCAGTTACAAGGTATATTCAGTATGATGTAGAAGGCGAGCAAACAATAGAGTAAAAATTCATTATAATTTATGATCGAAACCATGATATATGACATACTAATTAAAAGTTAATGAAGCCAATCCCATTGTTTTCAGATATTTAAGGCATCATGCACACTATTTGTATTTTTTTATTTTTCGCCTCATTTAATTAAAAAAAAAAAAAAAAAAAAAAAAAAAAAAAAAAAAAAAAATTTTTTTCTTCCATTTTTTAGACTATTGTGTGAATTATTTTTATAACGACTGGCGATTGCTAGATAGCAATGTCCCATTATTTGTAGTGTTTTATGGGTTTCTAGTTAATGAGTAGAAATATAAAGATGCTGTTTTCACACATCATTGTTCTTTATTATTTGGAAAACTAAAATATGCCTACCACATATATCCTCCCCCCCCATAGCCTTCTTAGTTCAAAGTTATTCTCTTATTTTTTCTTTACTTTTTATTTAATAGTAGAATTTTTGCATTTTCAATTTGAAAATGTAAAAGGTCCAAGTATGGGCATGGGTAAGTACCAATTGTGATAAATAAAAAATTCTGGTATATATGTATATACCTTTCCATTTAGGCATGATTTTTATATCATCCGCTAATTTTAATAAAAGGAGTTATACATACAGTAAATATTATAAAACTAAAATCTAAAAAAAATAAAATATATCAATATATAATATCACAATATAGGTAATACGTCTTAGAATTTCCTCATTTATTAGCCTAGCCATCCAAGGTATCTTCATTAAAAATATAAGTTTCTTTTTTTTTGTTTTGTTCTACCTACTTGAGTACTTATCCACTGCCCGTGTCTCGTTTTTCAAATAGAATGGCAGTGACGAAAGTGGTTCTTCGTTGGGAGCTGTCCATTTCGAAAAATGACTCAAATCTTATATCTTTTTTTTACTTTAACTTTAAAACACTCTGTATATTATTTTATTTTATTTGCTTGTTTATGAGCTTTCTAATTATAACTACTCTAATATTTATTATTTAGGTACTGCTAAACGGCTAAACGGCTTCTTTTTATTTAACTTAATCTTTTACAGGTAATTTGCTTGCATCGTGATATTTTGAAACTTGGCTGCTTTTAATACAACATGCCAAACCAAATTTACGTCCGAATAATTTAGTTGATTGTTTGATTACCTAATTTAAACCGCCCGACTATGTAATAAAGTAAAATGCACCGTCTATAAAAATAAGTATTTTAAGAAAACTTACAGAAATTTCAAATAAAATAAAATTAATATTCTTAAAATAATATACAAGATACCGCATTTAAAAAAACATATTTATTTTTATGTTTTATCACATTAAAAAAAAGACGTCCAAGAAAAATAGTTACGTCACTGAATTCTACGTAAAAACGATACGGGACTTAGTTTTCACCTTTTCATAAGTTATAAGTTAACCGAGATACGAGGGGGATCGAAAAATGCAACATACAGAATTTTCGCCCACTGTATTTTAGGACAAAGAAGCTATGACATATCTGATGTAGCATCCTTCTACTTCATAAAAAGTACCAGCGTAAGGAAAACCGTCATTTTGTATCTCAAACTCATCAAGAGGAGAAAGCGCCTGCAAACACCATCGAAGACCTGTAACAACATACTGCCCAATCAAGAAATCAACTACGAAAGAAATCCAAGATCGATTTATATATTTTTATATATTTTAATATTTTTTGTGTTCTTGATAATTCCTTTGCTACCTACTTCGTCCAAAAACCAACAATACGGGGAAGGAGCATTCCGTGAGCGTTTGAGGCAAGTAAACGGTACGAAGGAGCGTTTTTTGACAAGGATACGATCTAGCAGTAACAACATGATCGCAAAAATCGACATTTTCCATAGTAAATATAAGATAATTTGACGAAGGAACGCTATAAGGAAGAAGTTGAAGCTAGCGAAGTTCGAGTATTGCGACTTAAGAGTGAATGATAATTACGGAAACACAGATACTTAAACAACAGCAAAGAATATGACTTAATCAAATTTAATTAATCCATCTATTATAGTTATTTTATACAAGACAAAAAATTTATTTGGTTTTGGTTTGGCCCACAAATAAATTGTATTTGGTTGAAATGCAATTTTACGTCGTTAAAAACAATATTTTTTCACAATAGCGAGTTACGTTTTTAAAAATATTCAGAAAATTATTATTTCAAGGAAATTTATACGAGTAGAAAAAATATATGTGCTGGTTGTGTTGGTCTAATAATTGACAAATAAACTTGTTCTCATTAGTTAGTCTAGTTTTGAGCCAATTAATGGTCAATGTTTTTTAATTCTCTATTCGTGTCATTGCTGAATTGAATTGGAAGCCAGAAGATCAAAACGAAATACATAAATTACCAACAGATATTCAGATTCAGGCTGAGGCGACAAACCAAACGCCATATCCAAAAACTACTTCCATTTAAATCCCGAATAACTTATGAAAAGGCGGAATACAAAAATCTTTCAAAAATGCAAAGCAATTTAATAGAATTGCGCAAGAAAATAAAATTTTTAATTTTTTTTTTTTTTTTTTTAAAATTTAATCTACCCTTTTGCGGTTAAAGTTACACCTTTATTTCTATTGTAGATATAGTAATCTTTAAACGAGTTGCTATAGAAAAAAAGAAATAAATTCGAGAATTATATAACCATATAAGAAAAACACTTCTTTTGAATTTTTAAGATTTGTTTTTACATTGAACATCTTTTTTAATTATTTTTAATTATCAAGATCATTTTTGTTTTTATAGGGCTGAAGAAGTAATGCTCTTGAATATCTTCCAAAATTCCATCAGTTTCTTTGGCTCTGATAGCGGCGATGCCTAGAGTATTTGAAGCAGTTCAAGATAAGTCAATAATGAAGTCAAACTGCAAGAAGGATTCAAACGTTTTCGTAATTAATTCGTTATAAATATAAAGGTCATTTGTAAAAATCAAGTCTTTATTTTTTAGATAAAATATTAACTTCTATTGTCTTCAATTAAACCAATCTTGTGGAGAATGGCGACGATAAAAATACTGAGAAACCTATGCCTTTACCAGATCCTCTCTCTTTTT